AGTATTGATGAATGTTTTCATATGGAAAACTAAAACTAAAGATGAAACCCCCTTCTTCTCTTCTTTGATTCTTGCCTTTGCCTTCGCTAAACCGATTATGTTTTCTATAAATACTCGATACTTTTTTCTTTGTATCGAAATATGTGGAAAAGTTTGATACTTTTAAATACCATTCTTGTTTTCCTTCTTCTAAAAGTTCGAAAATATCGATACTTGGGGAAAATGTATCGATATAATCTTATTACAAAAAATAAATTTTATTTAGACACCGGAAAAGTTATACATTCAAATAATAATATTGGTTGAAATTTAAAATGTTACCCTTTTGACGTTCACAAAATAAGTTAACAACCATCAATATTATTAATATAATAAATATTTTAGGTTGCTCCTTAAAATTTTATCATATTTCAATTTGATGTAGCCTTATTCATTCACACGACAGTAAAATAGATAGGTTGCTATTTGAAGAGTAGGTTGCGATATGAAATGTTATAGATATCTAAAATATTGATTTTCTTGAAACAAGTCTCGATACTTACCGACAACATAAATTACCCAGTTAAACAATTTTTTATTATATTCAACTACTTGCAACCCAATATATTATACTTAATTCAACATTACCAGTAGCGTAAAACTTATTTTATTATGACCCTCTTCAATTTTTCGGTTGTGCTATTTTTAGCCTTATATTATTATGTCATTCCTTAGAATCCCCTAATATTAATTGCGATAAATAAGAAAACAATGTTACCTGTGGCAGGTTAAAAAGTCAAAAAGGGTTGTAATCAGCAGGCTTTTACTGCAGAAAGAACATTCAAAGTAATACCTTCGCAACTTTGTGTCATTTGGAATGCTTAATATATTTATTGGCGTATAAATTATATTTTAAATTAATTTTTAGCGTTTAATTATTTTTTAGCGTTTAAGTTTTTTATTAAAAATAGGAGTATAATATTTTTTTTATAATTTTTAGAACATACCGTTAAAAAATTATTGAATGATATATGTCGCATCTAGATTTTTAAAAATATATTTTAGAAAATATAAACGTGACGTATGTCATTTAATTTTTTATCAGTAGATATCTATAAGTGTAACGAAAAAATATTAAATATTTATTTTAATAAAAAAAGTAAATATCAAAAATCAATTTAAGATATAATTTAAATATATAAAACTGTATTAAGCCGATCTGGAAACACTTGTTTTGCATAAATTTCCAGAAAGTAGCAGCACATGTTTTGAATTATTTCTTCTCATTCCTCACAATTTATTATTATTTTGGTCGTTGTTGCCTTTGTTTGACCATATGAAGTTACTTCGGTAAACTACACTTTTAGTGCTCTTATTATTATTTGTATTCTGTTTTAGTCACTTAGTTATTATTTTTTTTTAAATTATATATAATGTTCTATTTTAATTTCATTTTAGTCATCCATTGTTAAAAAATAATATAACTATTGATTTAATATTTAAAAAAAATCAATGATGATGTGACATTACTTAATGATAACATATCAATATCACCTTTAATTTTTTTAATGATGAGTGACCAAAATAAAATAAAAATATAATATTAAGTATGATGTTAAAACAAAAAAATATTTGGGTAACCAAAACTAAATGTGTAATTTACCCATTCACTTCTCATCACATTTTCTAAACCCCTTTTTGTTTTGGAATGGCAGTCCAAATTTCTCGCATTTCATATCTTTGAATTAAAGTCTTTTTGTTGAAAAAAGCTAAATTATTCATATATTGTTTTATTTTTTAAAAAAAATATTTCTATTTTAATTCAAATCATTAAAAAAATAAATCATCTTAAATCACTGAAAATATTCGATAGATGAAAAATTTTAATCATTTACCTAAATTATTTATTTATTTTAATTTTCTTGTGATGCTAGGCAAAGGAATGAAAGTTAGAATGAAAAGACAAATAATTGCATTTGCAATTAAATAAGCTGACAAAAAAATAATTAATAGAAACCATAAATAACATGCTGAGAAAAATCCATAGAATAATTTCTCCACTCGGAGAGCAGGGGATTTCTTTTCGTATTTAAACTCCCATGTTTTAACGAGGGAAGTTAAATATAAGCAACTTGTGCATTTTGGGGTTATCTTCAAGGAAAGCATACTGCCATATATGCTATATATGCATTTTTTTTATTAATCATCGATATCTCTATTGTTTAATTATTTTAAATTAAATTTTATAGAGATCCATTATAAGACGACCCTCTAACCCAATTTACTTTATTTATATGTACCAAAATTAGCACTTCTAACTTTAATTAAAGAATCTAATAAATCATCCGCTAGATTAATTTATCATTGGTTATAGGCACTACTCTTTAATTATCTTGTTGAGTAGATAATATAAACTTTTGCCTTCATTTGTTGAAGACACGGATTTAAATTGCAGTTCTGATTACGTTTTTAGTTGCATTATGTTTATTGTGATTGTAAATACACCGGACACTGTTGTGGTGATTGTGTGTATCATGATCAAGCAATAATCGTATACGATACTATTATTATTATATAAGGAATACTATTGCAATATCAGACTATTATTTAAATTATTGTTCATGACAAATACGAGATGTAAAAACTCTAATCTTTATTGTTAAAAAATGCGAGTTTTTTTATTAATCTAGGATAAAAAAATGTAGTATTTATTCGAAAACAACTCTTAATTATTGGACATTGAATGTCTACACTATAAATATTCATGGTATTCAAATTAAAAATCACAATAATAATAATTATAATAATAATTTCTTTATTACATTGGTGGTTTGGTTCACGCAAAACGCAAGCAAAGCTTTCACAAGTTCATAATTCCGATGTGAACCACAGATGCCATAGACATAGAAGGGAAGCTTCTCATCCTATCATTCAATCATTTATGAAGTAAAAAATGAGAGAAATATGGCAGCAACTGGTGTCATCGAAACGACCGGTACTTCTCTGAGGCTGGTCAAAGGCTGACCAGTCCAAGGATCTCTGAACTGATTCCCTGAAGGATGCTATGGTTGAACAAATTTACAGAAATGCCATTGTATTTGAAGGCGCTTTTCTTTTGTAAAAATTAAGTGTAAACTACATTAGTAATCCCTTTTGTTTTTTTATTTATCTTACCTTTAGTCACTAGTTTAAAAACATACGTTTTGGTCACTTTTATTTTTGATATGGTTTACACACGTCTGTAAAAATGGTTAAATTTTAACTTGACATTTGAATTTTACATAAAATACTAATTTAGCCTTAAATTTTATATAAAATACAAATTTTATCCATAAACATTAGATAAAATATCAAATTGATCTCTGAATTCTCAAGGATTCCACTATCGACTGCCATTCATCACCGTCACTGATCACCATCAGTTGTCATCACCATCCATCTTCAACTATCGCTGTTAAAAATCATTGGACCTCAAAACTTTCAAGTTCACTCTTTTTTAACCTCATGAATGCAAATTCAAAGTCTATTTAATCGAAAAACTAGTCTAGAAACCTTTAAATTCTCTTAAAAGTAAATAATATGCGTTCTTTTTTCTTTTGATAATTTTGGAGTGAATACAAGGTAGAATTTGTTCAAAGACTCTCAACCATTTGACAATGAACACTAATACCCCTGCATAAGCGATGCTTGAACTTGGGACTTCAAGGGACTTCTGTTTTGGTCATGCAACTATTTTTTTTCAAAATTATACATAAACGTTATATTTTGGTTTCTTTTTGGACACCCACCGTTAAAATATGAACATAATTGTTGACATGACATTTTTATTTTTTTAAAGATGATGTGATATTACCTTTTATGGTGACACGTCAACATTGCGGTCAATTTTTTGACCGTGAGTGACTAAAATGAAAACAAAATATAACGTTAAGTATGATTTTTAAAAAATAGTTATGTGACCAAAAGAGAACAAAAGTGATAGTTGGAATACTAAACATGTAGTTTACCCTTAATTTAATTAAATAACTTGTTTAAATTTGATTTAAATCAAACATAAAGTAACCGAAAGGTAAGATACAAATAAACCAGAAGAGAATGTGAACAATAAAATATTCTCAATCGAATTCATCAACAGAAATTATCCAAACCCTAAGGCTTTGAAACCCAATGTTATTATCCTCTTGAAACCAACTAGACCTTAGGCATGTCTATAAAAGATTCTCTACAGCAATTCATGTATGATCATGTAGTGAGTTCCAGGAAGCAGATACTCCTCTAGCGCTTGGCGAATAGGATTAGCTGAATTACTGAATTTAGCTGAGAGAACAATGCTCTCCTCTCAAGAAATACACAACATTTGTCGTCATTATCCCATGTTTGACTACAGCTGTAAAAATATGTTCGGATTGGGATTGGGATTGGGATTGGGAAACAAGTCTAAAATGTAACACCTTAATATAAGATTAAAAAAAATTCACTTGTAACCGAAAAATTTGTCAAGACTTCAAAGTTTTAGAATAAATTAAATAACATTTTAGTTTTAGAGTAAAAATATTACATGGTCCTTAACAAATCATATAAATTACATAATTATTCCGATTACAATTTAAGAAATATCTCAATTATAACTAAAATTATTACCAATCGTATAGCATTTTAGAGTAGGCAAATAACATTTTAAAACCCGTCATAATGTTAAAATATAACCAAAATTAATACCAATTGTATAACTTTCTAAGTTGGACATAATAACAATTTAGACTAAAATTCGCCGTAAATTAACCTTACATTAAGCCATCACACAACAGAACTTACCCGGCAAGGGTACAAAAGATAACATGCATCCATTACCGACATCCACCGGAATCGCAAAACGTGGATGCCAAGTGAAATAAGATGTATCTTTCATATGCTTTGATTCAATACATAATAATCAGAGTTGAAGAAAACCAAATGGCCAGTATTGATCTTTCATATACAAAAGATAACATGAAAGATAATTACTGTTGCAGCACATTGAGTAATAAATCAGCTTCTTCATTAGATTAATTCATTAAAATAGGTTTTGCAGAACAATCCCCTGCACAGATCAATCCCTGTATACAAACACCAACAAAGCACTCCCACACAAACTAATCACCTATAAATGAATTGTGTTTATTTTCTCAAATTCAATAAATACCCTCGAATTGCCTAAAACAAATACTATTATTTAATGAAAGCAACTAATGATTTTCTCATAAACATGCTAAAAGAATTTCAGTTTTCCATGGGATAGAGTCGATCTCGCATGCTGCAGCTTACACGTTGCTTTCTGTGTTCCCGTCAAGTTGGAACATGTGTCTGTTGCCCCTAAAGTAACAGCGAAGTAAAGGTAGATGGTACATAGGAATGTTAAGAGCCCCAAAGCTGTTAAGAGGAACCTGTGCCTCTGAACAAGTGTTGACCAGCTACCCAACTCATCTTTCGGGAACTGCTTCCTCATCGATCCCATCCTCCGATGGGGAGAAGATACAATACTGTCAAGAACCATAGCTTAGAGGCTAATAGTCCTTAGACAATGCGACCTGAAACAATGTAGCCAATTCAATTCCTTGCCATTTAGTAAAAAACCAGAAGAGCATCAGGCTAAAGCATTAAATCACCATATGTAAAGAAAGGCAAAGAAATAGAATATTAACCGAGTATATGTGTGTATGTGAATATTAACACTAAATATTCACTGGAAATTATTTTAAAGATAGCCTCACTACATTTTCTTTTCCCTTTCAAGAAAGGGAGAGAACGGGCCATCATGTGTTTGAACCCTAGATCCATGTCAACCAAAACTTGAAATGGGAAGGTATACCTCGAACACATCAAGTGAAACACATGCCAATATATGAAAGATTGATCAACCCCGATAGGAAAATCTTAAAAGAAAGTACAGTAGTCTTCACAGTAATACAAAATTTTGCAAAACCTTTTTCTACAGATTCAAACCGAGCTTGAAGATCGATGACATTTTAAACCTTCAAAATGTCTCTGGAAAGAAAGCCATATAATCTAAATAAAACATTAATTAGACTAATCAATGTTGGATTGTTATATCAGAAAGAAGAAATCTTCAATTTCCCTTTCATCTGAAAACCATTTATGATTTAATTATTTCCAATGAGGCGGACACTTGACCTAAATTGTTCTCATTTCAGTTAGATAAATAATATATCTTTTTTCCACTCCTTAATCCGAAAACATGCTATTAACTCAGATCCCTAGAAACCCAAAAAGAGAAGAGCCAGAATAACGTGTTAAATCTAAACAGAAACAAATTAAAAACCCGGGAATCAAATCATATTTCAATCATACAGACATAAAATTGGAAACGCATCTCCATCCTTAAAAACTAAACAAAACCCAGATCTGCAAATGAATCAAATAGTTAACAAAAAAAACATACAAACTTAAACTCGATTAAAAAATGAAGGATGGATCAAAGGGAAGAAGCAAACAATGGGTGTGCTTCTCCCTTGTGTCACAGGCTCACGGTGATATTGAAAAGGGGAAAAAGCAGGAATGAAGGGGGAAGGCAGCGTGGAGGGGCGGTTTTTAAGTGTCTTTTGTAATGGGCCAGCCAATAAAGGGAGTTTTGATGTTTGGAAACGTTCAAAGGTCGTTTAATCATAGCCTACCCAAACCCGCGTGCGGGTTAAAATTGGGAAACTGCTCTCCATTTGGACTACATATAGCCAAATTTTATTTCAATGTTTGTTTAATAATGTTCGAGGCACCTTAAATATAAGGGTAAAATAAATAATTTTTCGATTATAAAATATTATTTTATTTAATTTTTTAATTATTAAAAGTTATAAAATGATTTATTAATTATAAATTTTTATCTTGTTAAGTACTTCAACTATTAAAAGTTACAAAATAATAACTTGATTATACATATGTTCCAAACTCCTAATTTTCTCTAAAAATTTGCAGTCTTCTAAGTTAGATGTTAACCGATTGATTGGGATAAGATAAAATTTGATCTTAGAATCTCAAACGCTATACAACTAAAATGGTCATGAAATCATATTTTATCATATCTTAGTCAATAAATTATCGTCTAGCTTAAAAGACCACCAATTTTTCAACATAAAAGGGTAAGTTTGTAACATTTGAATAGTCGGATGACTATTTTGTAACTTTTAATAGTCGAGGGACTCAACAAAGCATCACCATAAAGTTAGGGAATCACTTTACAACTTTTAATAATCAAGAGACTCAATAAAACACCATCCTATAATCGAGTGCCATTTGAACTTTACCCTAAATATAATTACTAATAAGGATTAAACTGGTTAACTAACATATACCGTACTTTACAACTTTATGTGATTAAATTTAATTGAAATCAATTAGATGTTAACTTTAAAAGTTTTTTTTTACAAATATAAATTAATATAAAACATAAATATCAAAAAAATAATTCTAATTCGAAAGTGACATGTAGCTACTAATCAAGTTAAATATCTACACTCAATTACTCATACATATCAAACTGAATAACATTGTGTTTCTTATTGATGACATTGGATTTGAAACATTGAATGATAGAACGGTCAGGAATTGAAATTTAATTATGCCTCATGTTTCCTTCATGCAGATGAATTTTAGTTTTGTTGACGGGATGTGGGTTCTAAGCAGCTGCTACATTTTTCAGTTTTTCAATAGACTTCAGGTTGGTTTCTTGCTTTTCATTTTTGCCGGTGTGGGGGAGCTTGGATTCTTCATATGGTATATAATCAAATACATATGCATTATTGTATTTAAATGGTATTTTTATTATACATTTTTTTGTTATTATATGTTTTAAAAAATGGGATTCCTTTTGGGTCACTTTGCCTTCTGTTTAAGAGAAATTGAGGTTACCATGTATATGATGGGCTTTGTTTTGAATTTTATCTCATGCCCTTTTGTTTGTTAATAGCGGATAAAGATTGAAAGTTGTGTTTTTGTGTGGGGTTATATGACAGTGAAGGAGGGGTGTAAGTTGGTTATAATGGCGAAGAAGAAGTATCCAGTTGGGGCAGAGTTTTATACACTGCATGAGGAGATTGGACAGGGTGTTAGTGCTACCGTGCGTCGTGCTGTTTGTTTACCGTTGGACGAGGTTGTTGCAATCAAAATTCTTGACTTTGAACGTCATAATCGTCTATTTATAGACGAAACCCTTGTGTACTCTCGATTAGAAGAGGAGCATGATCAATATCTCTATATCGTTCTTCAAACACTCTGAGACCGTTAGTTGTATTCCAAATTTGGGAAATATGAGTTTTGATTATCAGAGGTAACATTCATGAGTTATTTCATATCGGCAGACGTCATCAAAGTTGACCCTCAGAAGATTCAGGCTATAGTCAGGTGAGAGCCACCTAAGAATGTGTCAGATGTGCGTAGTTTTCTAGGTTTAGTCGGGTACTACCATTGATTTGTTCAGGGCTTTTCGATGATAGCTACCCCATTGACCAAGTTGTTTCATAAGGGTGTTTTCCTTGTGTGGGATGAGAAGTGAAAGAAGAGCTTCAAGCAGTTAAAGACCATCCTAACTCAGGCCCCAGTTCTTACCCAACCAAAGTCGGGTAAAGACTATAGTTTTCAGTGACGAATGGTCTTGGATGTGTCTTGATGCAGGAAGGCAAGGTGGTGGCCTATGCATCCCATTAACTTAAACCTCGTGAGCATAATTATCCTACCCACGATCTTGAGCTAGCAATGGTGTATTTGCCTTGAAGATTTGGCGACACTACTTATTTGGAGAGAAGTGTCACATCTTCACATATCATAAGAGTCTTAAGTATCTACTCACTCAAAAGGAATTGAACTTGAGGCAATGTAGGTGAGTTGAGTTACTCAAGGACTATGACTGTGTAACATCCCAAATTATGAGTTAGTGACCAAATTGTAAAGTTTTAGAATTTGATGACTAAAGTAGAAGAAAGAAATAGTTCAATGATTATGAGATATATATGATGAAGGTTATTTAGTAATTATTAAAGGAAATAAAGGGTAAAATGGTCATTTGATCATTTAAGGAATTAAATAAATGTGATAGTGGGGATATATATATTTTACACGTGGGAAATGAGGGAAACAATGTTTCCAGAATTCTCTTCTCCTCCTTTCTTCTTTGTGCGGGAAGCTCCAGCTCAAAGGTAAGTTTCTTTGTTTATAATTGAATTGTTGATTTTTAAGGTTGGGTTTTGATTATTAGATGATAACTAAGCTTAAGGAAAGCTTAAATCATCTTAAAAGCAAATGATGGTGGAGTTAGGAGAGATTAAAGATTTAGAGTTTATAAATGAAATCTTGGAATAAAGTTCATTTCTTAAATTGGAAGTTAAATTTGACTTGTCAATGGTTAAATTAAGAGATTTGGAGTGATAGAATTGGATTTAGAACATATAGAAAATTTGGTATGATTCTTGAATCTCATAAGGAATATAGGATTTTGAGGTTAAAGATGATTTACATTGATATAAGTTAGTTCAAGTAATGGTAGTTGAGTTTAATGTCATAAGAGGGGATTAAAATAGAAGAATCAAGGGAAGAGTCGATGATTTTAGTGCTAAAATGTCAGTTCTGGGCAATGTGCATCGATTCACATTCATTGTGCACCGATGCATCGATGTTAAAACCCAGAAATTGTTTGAAGGTGTATCGATGCATTGGTAGTGCATCGATGCACTCTTTTAAAATAAATACATCGAATGCAATTAGTGCATCGATGCATAAGGCATGCATCGATGCATCCAGTAATAAACAAACATCGAATGCATTTTATGCACCGATGCATCAGTAGTGCATCGATGCATACCTTCATTAAAAGATGAAATTGCCTTTTCTCTTAGTCTAAAGAGTGAACCATTAGAGTATATTAGTTATAATACTAATATAGATCTATGTATGATGATGTAGATATAGAACGTGATCCCGTTCCGGATCAATTGAAGGATTATAATCGAATCAAAGCAAAGCTAAGGTGAGTGCACATTCTCTAGTATATGAGGTTCAAGGGAAAATAAGACTTGTGATAAGTCTATTTCCAATAGTGAAAAACATGAATTCATAGAAGTATGTATTTGTTATGAATTATATTTGCGCATGAGTATATGTGTAATTGATATGAATATGGTAAGTAAAAGGGATTAATGGTGATGATAAGAATAATAATAAGGATAATGAAATGATAGGTATATGTGAATATAGGTATTGATGTGTTTTGTATGTATTGTAAGATGATATGTTTATGTGATACATGAGGGTGAATCCTATGTTTATATGAATATGAGCTCATATGAGAATTGACATGAACTACGTGATTACATGTATATGTGAATGAAACCATGAGCTTATATGAATATATGATATGGTTACATGAATATGTAAAAGGATATAAAAGATAATGCCCATGTTATGTGTCATGAGAGCTAGGGGTATAGTTGACATGCCAAGAGTCGAGGGTACCTATGTTCTACGGAACATATGGACAGAATTACCTATGTCTTTCGAGACATATGGACAGTATACTTATGTTCTACGGAACATATGGACAAAATTACCTATGTCTTTCGAGACATATGGACAGTATACCTATGTTCTACGGAACATATGGACAGAATTACCTATGTCTTTCGAGACATATGGACAGTATACCTATGTTCTAAGGAACATATGGACAGTTCACCTAGGTTCTTCGGAACCTATGGACAGTTGCCGAGGATCTTTATGACCTCTGGATAGTTACCGAGGATCTTTATGACCTCTGGATAGGTCCTGCGGGACATTGATCGAGCTGTGGTGACATCATATGTGTGCACAACCTCAATGTACTCACATACCTTAAGTTCTCAATAGTGTACATGGGTTAATAAAGAGATTAAACAAGTATACTAAATGTGATATGTATATGTGACTTGTTATATGGAATAGATTACATGATTTACATAATGGTGTATTGCTTGGTTAATGCATGATATGGTAAAGACAAATGTTTATATAAGAGTGTTAAATTATAAAGATTAATAATAGTGAATGAGAAATGTTAAACGTGTTGATAATGATATATGTGCATGTGTGTACATGTTGCAGAAATTCTATATGTGTGCTTTTATATGATATGATTGTAATACTAATTGCTCATGCATTTGATATGAATTATAGTTGTATTACATGTTTATATGCCTAACTAAGTCAACGACTTAGCGTGTGATTGTTTCACACGTAGGTTTCGAGAAGAGTAACGAGCAATGTGGAGCAAGACAGGTCAGTTCTCCTTACCAAATGTCAGATCAGAAAAGAGGTGAATAATACGTATTTTAATAAATAAAGTTTTAGTTGGCATGTAATCAAAAGAATATATATATTGTATAAGCTCTGAATAGTTTTGTAAACGTTTTGAATAAGTTTTAATGTTATAAAAGTTTTAAATTTCCCTATTTTTTTCTATAAGAGTCAAAGTTTGAAAAGTCAATGTGACACCTCGGACTCGTATCCGGGTCGGGTATGGGTTGGGGTGTTACATTTAATGGTATCA